TATAAATGCACAGGAATTCTGGGAGTTGAAATCCACACACAGGTCTTAAAGTTCTCCATTTTCTAAAACACTGCTCTAGAAAGTCAAAGAGCTGTGAAACTAATTCCATGAATCCAACGGAAAATTACGATTGATTTTTGTCAATCTATATCTCTATTCCCCTGCTGAATAAATGGATTTAGAAAAATAGAACCATTTCAGATTTGTAAAAAAAAACAAAACTGTGGTAAACCAAGCTTACTACCATATCTTGTGAGGGAACTCATTACAATCCTAATTCTATTACTCGGGGTATTAAAATATATGTACTTAAAAAGGAATAAGCTTTAAACTTAACTCACTAAAATGTAGAAATTAAGAAAAAAAAGCAAGAATGTTTTTTCAGGCATTATATAAATCTGCAATAACAAATTCAGAAGTGCTCATTATTATTAAAGTTGCAGTATACAGCAGAAAAAAAGTTTTCATTGTTTGGATTTTGTCAATATATCAACCTGCATTTTGAGTTGTTCTTGTTTTATGCATTACTTTTGAAAACCAAGGCAATTTAAAGAACCAGGAAATGACTAGAAGCCACTCCTCTCTTTCTAAGAGTGCAATCTTTGGCTTAATATTCAATTAGCCCCCAGAATATTTAAAAATTGAGATCTAGATTATTTTAAAGTACTATATAGTTTTTTTTAAAAAAAAAATCATCAGGCTTATGATCAAAATAATTTTAGAATTAGCAGATAATATTTTGATGGGGAAAGCTACAGCCCTTGTGAGTGGGATTTCAATATATTACTTCATGCACTGGCCTGGCGCTAAAATTTGAATTCTCCAATCCCTAAACACATATCTAATATTTACAAGGGCAAGTTATAGATTACATGTGGGAAACAGTGAAACTGACTAAATTAAGAAGGTGCTTGATAGTGCCCTTTATTTATCCTTCTCCCTGTATTTGAACCTAGATATTACTTCCATATACCATAAAACCAGCTACAAGTTCCCCTACATAAAGCTTCTAGAGATGTGACATACATAAATATTTAAAACAAAAAATGATAAACAAGTTTAGCTCAGAAAACTACCTATCCAACTTTATTTATGTAATTTTTTTTATATTATTGGGGCAGTTTTATAGGACAATCAAGGCTCACTTTTATAATGCATAAAATGCAAATTGATAAGCAAACTGATTTGTTGACTGATAACTGTTCTAAAGAGACATTTTAAGAAACCAGTCCTTACATGTGCCAGTTCAATATTACTGTTGCATAAAAAAATGCAGCTATAACAGACAGAAAAAAATATGGAAAGCTATTCTCCTTACTGAAAGAATGGGCAAATCATATTTATGCAAGACATTTTTTTTCTTAAGAATTTGCAGCAACATTTTAAACTCAAAATGAACTCAGTGATTTTCTTGCCCCAAAAAACTGCAGATGCAGCAACAGGACTGGCTAAAGGCTTGGTAACACTATAGAGAAAGAGATATACCACTCATCCCAAATGTGGCTGGAAATGGTTAACCCTTTTAGGGAATCTGTAAAAGATAATTTCAGAATCTCTCGATCCATTTTGGTTCAATTCTGTACACGTAACTCCTCAGTGCTTAGATGTTTAAGAATATTACAAACCAGTTTGCTTCTGTACAGCAAGAAATACTGAGCCCTTCTCAGGCAAAAAATTGACTCTGTCTACCTGAATCTACTGTATTTGAAGAGTCTTGATGGCTCTGTGCAGGATTTTTGGGAGCTGCACTTTTAGCTTTCCCAAGAGATGATGGCATCTTTGGAACAAAACTGTATAGTACAAATTTTAAATAATCATAAATTATTTTAATAAATAGATGTTCTTATAATGACAATTTATACTGCATCTTTAAACAATGCACTTGATTTTCCTGCATTTTGGTTTAAAATGGTTAAAGTGCATTAATTCAAAAATAATGAACCACTTCGTCATCATTATTGGTTTTTTTTTAAATCTTATTAATATGTGTTGCTAAATCACTAACATTAATACTGCAATCTAGCAGATTACTTGATGATTTTGCTCTACTTAATACTGTCCAGCAGAAGAAAATAATACTATTTAAACTCAAACAGCTTTGGCAGTCTCTTAAATTGCTGCTCAATTTTTAACAAAACATAAATATGAGGAAACATTTGAGATGTAAAGCCTCATGGAAACGAGCTTTGGGCAAAACCACACCATTTTCAAATGCACTGTGGTGTAGAAACCTGTCTTCCCCAAATGAATTTATTATTGATGTTACAGAGGCCTGTGGGGTTTCCTCTTCATCGCCAGGCCCCTTCTTCCATGCTATTTCACTGTAGAAACATGGACAACAGCAGTGCTGATGCACTGTAATAGATCAGCCTGAAAGGCATTAATCACACGAAGCATGGAAATCAATCCCTCAAGTTATTTTTGTAATGTCATATATGTAACACACAATGAAAAATATACAAGAGGCAAGAATCAAGTGATAATTATGTAATTTTCAGAAAGCTAAAACATCTCAAAATATACTTAATTTTTATTTGTTCAGAAAAAATATGAGTTGGACCTCATTAAAAATCTTGATTCTTTCATCTTCCACTGGTAGAATGTAAGTCTGTTGCTGGAGATAACCAGATTACTTAACATTTTCTCCCTAAAATCCCCAACTCTTTTTCTTCATTTTCCATATTGGGCTTCAAAGTGACGATAAACCTGTTGTCTGATTTCCATATTGTTTAAATAAAGGCCTTCTGGTGTTGTGGCTGTTGTTTACCAATTACAAAGTTCACTGCAAGGCTAGTAAATGAAGATGCATCAAAATATAAACACACTTTGTCCCCAAAGCCTTTGCACAAACCCGAGTGGTTTTAATCTTTATGCTTTTCCACAAAAATCTCATTTTTTAAAAAAAAAAGCATCTGAAATCATAAATAAAAAGGCAAAAGAGGATATGTGAGTACAGAATTCCTACTTTGTAACATTCCCAGTCTAATGGTGCTCTGTTCAATCACCCTTTGACAATATCGCTCAGTAGAAAACTGAGAAGAAGTGAGAAGAACAAAATAATTTGTAGTTGTTCTTTAAAAAAACTTTTTCAGAAGACTGGTATTTACTAATAAAAATCTCTCCCTTCCTCTTCATATATAAACTAAAACCAAGTATGCAGTTGGTAACATCCATGGCTTCTGCTCATTCCCATTCTGACTTTGAAAACATAAATGCTTCTCTGCCAGGTAAGAATCAGCATTGATTGGACATGAAACGAAGAGAAACTTGATGAACCATCAACATTCAGATGTGCAGACATAGCACCTATTTTGACACTCTTCCTTTTATTGCAACATCAAACTAATTCTGGATATCCCACGTTCTTCTTAGTAAAGTATTCAAGAAAATAAATAACTTTCCACAAACATACAGCGTGCTGGATTGGGCAACTGCCTCCTTGCATGCAGTGATTTTCATATTCTTGTCTGTTCATACACATTGGTGATACAAATGTAAACATGCCAAACCCTTCCATTCATAACAAAGGAAGCAAGACAATGGCCAATTGTGTGGAAGCAAATTTTGTTTGTTTTTTTCAAAGCGGCACGCATAGTCAGCTCAGCTCAGCTCCACCATTTTTATTTTTCTATTTGTGATGGTAATGCTAATTGCCATGATCTGTTGAGGAAAGCTCTATTTGTTTGAACTGTCCTGTGAGGAGTCACACACAGAACACATAGAACGCACACAATTGGTTCTGACAGTGAGCACGGTGAGAGGAGAAGCAGCATCTGCATGGTTTCTCTACGCACCTTCCTTCACTCCTTTCTCCAGGACTACAAGAGTAGGGAGTCCTGCAGGGCTTGGGATAAAGATCAGCATAGCAACACCAATGCCCTGGTGAAATAGGGCAGGTGCAACCCAGTGCAACTCTGCCACAGCCAAAAGGTAGAGCCTGAGAAGAGGAGAAGAAGCAGATGTTTGAGAAAGGTGTTCCCCTCCCTTAGAAATCTAGCCAAGCCAAGTCGTAATAGGCCATAACCCAACAAAAAGAGAAGCAGGTCGCACTACGTGCCTTCTTCTTCTCATCTTCTTTAGATTTGGATAAAACTTGGTTAGTTCTTAGTTGATATCTGGAACTCTGAATAACTGAGTTGTCTGGCAAGTACTCTCAAAATAACTGCAGTACATATTATTCAGAAGGCCACAAAAGGAAAATATTAAAGTTGAAAGTAGTGTGCAGAAGAGATTGTGTGCAACTCATAGTTTTAGCATGTTTACAAACATTAGGAAACCACATAAAATTGGATTACACTTCAAAGTCCACTTATAACTTTTTAAAAAATACTCCTCCTCATTCCTGATCCAGGTGATAAGTAAGGAATACAAGAAGAAAAAAACAGGGTGGATAGTACTGGAGAAACAGAATGATATGTGATTCAAATCCAATACCAGAAATGAAAAAAAATCCTTCTCAGATCTTCAGTCTAGAGATCCGAATGCAATAGCCGAGTGATGGTTCCTTGAAAATTTTCTCCACTTGCTCTGTTCCCCACACATCTTGAGTGAAGGGAGGGATCAACCAAATACTATTTATGGCCACATCACATGGAAGAAGTGAACAAGCAGAGTTTTTATAAAACACATTTGGGTTTGGCATCAAACTCCCAATCAAGTAAACCCATAATTCCAAACTAGAATGGAAAGGCACACATTTGGTTTCTGAGTATTAAAATCAGGAAATAGGGTAATGTATCCTGATGTACATCTTTGTGTGTGTGTGGGGGGGAATAAAATAAAAGGGCATTAATTCCAGATGTATTTTCTTGGTACTTGCAGAATGAGACCATTCCTTCAAAACATCCTAAAAGATGGCAGACTTTCTGGGCAACAAGCAAAACTGAACTGTCTTGTGAATGCACAATAGTGTAAAGGAAATACATCTTTGTATCTTTTCCCACCTTCCAAATGTACACCAAAGGGAAGTATAAATTAGTGAATTTAAATACATTGCAATACTATTTCTTTTTTTCCAAATAATTTGAGGGCACCCAGCCTTTAAATGGTTTCCCACTTTCCATGATCTGGCAGTACCACCAGCCATTTGGGTTCTTTTCCAATACCTCCATGCAGACACCTTCTTGAAATCCAGCAGTTTCTTCATCTCCCTCATAATCTGCAATGGAGATATAAATATCCTTAAGATTATTATGAATGAACTGAGATTTTTCAATGGGCTTGGGCCTGACAGTGGACACTGGAATTCCATTGCGGTCAGTTGGTATGTAGGAGGCATTATCTGACTCTTCAGAGACCAATCGACCAGCATGTTTTACTTTAGACTCATTCATTTGGGATTGGGCAGCACTGAAAGATGAATTACGACGTACAGTCCTCAAATGATCTGTGGCAGAAAGAGACTCATTCCTACGCAGGGAACAAGGCAGATTATTATCCTTGGGGGGTGGAGAAACAAACACTGACTGTGGTCTCACTGCTAGCTGTCTAACTCCATTTCGCAGTTTGACAGGTCCAGATGTTTTGGAGAAGCCACCAGGTGGCTTATTAGGAATAGGGGGTGTTGTTCTTTTGTTCTGGTTGATAGTATTCAGTGCCTGGACCTTCTTCTCTATTTTCTCCAAGCTATTGGATTTGCTTTCATTTCTTCTGTTTCTTGCCTGTGATATATTGGATGTGGTATCTTCTCCAGTGGAAGTGTTTTCTTGTTGTTGGTTATCAAAAGACATCAGATAATGAGAAGGAGCCCACCCTTCTATTTCTCCATATTTCAAATACCACCATCCACTTGATTGCTTTTCCAATACTTCCACTTCTATTCCAGCAGGAAAACTGATTTCAGAATCTTGAACTTTTTGATAAGAATCAGTGGTTATATACAGACATTTTGATGGGTTACTTTCATTCTCTGTTTTGGCTAGCTGGCTGGCATAAAATAAGGTATGGGAAGAAGATGTAATGAATTCTGCAGAATTTCTTCTGAAAGACTCTTCAGAGTTTCCAGAAGTTGTCTGAGGTGGACTTTCAGATTCCTCACTTCTTGAACCTTTAAGTCCACCTCTGAGTTGCCCAGTTGGTCTCAGATGATGACGTAAAGTACTGATATTCATCATTTCTTGACTTTGAGAATCTGCTTTGTTCAGAAATGGTTTTGGCCTCACCATTGGTTTTCCTCTGCTAGACATGAACTCTCCAGTATCCCTTTTTGTGCTTGATTTGGGTATGCTACTTAGGCCAGCATCTGAGGCTGATCTTGGCTTTGTCTCCTCATTATGACTATAATGAGACTTCCCAAAGTTTGTTTGAATACTTTTGGGCTTCAGAAGGGAGGATTTAGGAGAAATTGAACATGGAGAATTTCTTTGAATCAAAGACAGTGAGGAACTTCGAGAATCAGAATCTCCACTAGATTCCTTGTTTGACAGTGCATCTTCTATGTAAGGTCTAAAACCTTCATTTTCATAGATTGTTTCCTCTTCATGAGTCACATCATCAGAAGATTCTCCAACTCGAAATTTTGCTTTTGGGAGGGATGATCCAGGGGAAGGTTTTGGAAGGTGGAATAAGCTTCTGTCTGAGTTACCATCTTCTCCTTGGCTCAGCTCAGATTCTGAGTCATGACCAAAGGCAGGCACATCATACTCTGGTTCCTCATACATCTGCTTGTGTGGGGAATCTTGGCCATCTCCTGAAGCTGTGGTACTACTAGCTGTTACTTCTTCAGAATCCTTTACTTTATTAGGAGGAGCAGGGGGAGGAACTTTGGGCCTGGTCAGAGTGCTTGTTCGCCTATTTAAATTGGGTTTCTTCCTTTTATCAATATATGATGCTGGAGCCCAGCCTTCTTTTTCTCCAATCTGGACATACCACCAGCCCCCAGAATTCTTGTCAATAACCTAGAGAAGGATTAAATCATAAATTAATTATGGATACAAAACACTAATACATTTATTTTTTTATCCAAGCTTCTCTTTGATTTTTGCTCACTATATGACAACTATCCATCACTGACTCATTTTCCATTTTAGTCTTACCTCTGCTTTTTGTCCCCCATGAAAGCTTATTCCATCAGCAATACAAGACTGGAACTCTGCAATAGTATAATATTCAACTTCCACTGAAGGTGGCTCAGGAGGTTTAGGTAGTTGAAAGCCCTGTGGCAATAAACAGTGACATAGAGATTAATTAAAAATGTCAGGGAACAAGGGAAGAGGGCATTTAAAATAAAATTATTACAAATTTACTTGCAAGAGACAAATGAATATAAATGGTGGCTGCTGAAACTCCCTAAGCAAGAAAATCAAAGTGACATCAGTAGTGGCACATCAAATCAAAGCCAGAATTCAACAACTCACCATGGTCAACTCACCCTGGCTGACTCACCCTGGCTGTCTCTCTGCGGTCAACTCGCTGTGGGACAACTCGCCACAGGACAATTCAATGAGGGATAACTCAAGAGAGAGACAAGTAGAACTGCAGCTCACCCCAGCCTTAGGACTTCTAACCTGAGAAGGTTCAAACCTAAAGCAAGACAAAGCACCCTGCAATTAACTTGTCCCTCTCTTGAGTTCATCCTGTGTTGAATTGTCTCATGGCAAGTTGTCTCGCGGCGAGTGGGCCAGGGCGAGTTGTCCTAGACCCATCTAAAAGTCCTACTGATCAGAATTAGAAATGTTGGTAGTTGTATACAAAACACTGAAGAGCACTGTATTGGGAAAGGCTATCTTAAATTCTCTTAACTCTGATATATACTAAACTACCATACTTTTGAATAAAGAACACACAGTAAAATCTGCATACCACAAAATTTATGGTTATGAAACTGGAGCTTCACTTCAGCATTTCTGGCTGAAAGATTAAAAACAAGGTTGACTAACACTCTAATAAGCTTATGTTCTCGTACACCTCATAAAAAGACATTAGCAATATGTTACTTTATAGGGATCTATTTAACCACCATCATGGATGAATTTAGTTACCCAGGTCATAATATTTTACCTCATGATAAAAAAAACCTAACCTACCCACTTGTTTTCCTAATTGCTCAGTGGGAAACCAAGGGCTGGTTTCCTGTACTTAAGCTGTAAATATTAGGCAATGTGTTTGTGTAATACTAAATATTTAGTGACTTAAATATAAAAACAAAATCACTACTCACCAAACTAGATTCTCTTCTTGGAGGAGGTTTCATACGCAGATTTGGAGAACCTTCACAAAGAAGGAATATTTCCAAATTATTGTCAGTAAAATTGTGAGTAAAAGGGTAAAAAGTGATTTATTAAAATGTTTATTAACTCTTAAGTCCAGAGGTTTTTTTTTCAATCAAAAATATTCTAATAGCCACAGTATTTAAAAAAACTTGAGCAGATGAAAAGAATCTGCTCTAGAGGACATTCCAGAACAGACCATAATAATATATTACTTGTACTGTTTTACTTGGTCTTCTAGAGCTGGAAAATGGGCTTTTTCAATATTTCTAATATTCTTACATGTTCAAGTAGTAACAGGCAATCCTTATATTTAAGCTTGAATCAATATGCCAGTATTATTATTTCAAACTTGTAAAGCAATTATGATTTCACTATTTTAAGTTATCAAACTAACTCTTATATTTTATACCAAGGGAAATTTCAAAAAATAAATCTATATGTAACATATTACTTTAATTTAAGAGGCTTATTATCAGAGAAGAATAACCATGGTCAGGTTCTCTAGCAAGAAGGGAATCACTACCAGATACACTACCAGACAGTCCTTTCAACATACAAATAATTTCAAGATTACTAATATGGATTTCAGCTCTGTTTCAAGTTGTTTCCAATACAATAGTTGTTTTAGAGTTAAGAGGGTTAAGTGGAGATAACATCATATGAATTATTGCTGACCTTAGTGTGTGTGTGTGTGTGTGTGTGTACACAAATGTGCAGATTATTTCACACTGTGGAAAGATGTGCAAAAATCAGTGGTCCTGGCAGACTATAGATTTATAGATAACTTTTCTAGGTACGTTTTATATGGAATGGTGCTACCTATTATGTCCATTGTGTTCATTTATTCAAGGATTAGATTCACTGAATTGATTATATGACAAATCTATGTGCTTTGTGCTTATATACCTTGTATGGAAACAGGCTAGAAAAATTAATATTAAGAAGCAGTATACGGGCTGATCAGAAGGGGGCATCATGGGCCTTTTCAAGAAACAGTAATTACTTTTATATACCCAAACCCTGCAGTCTATCATAGATCTTGGAGGTATTAGACATAGGATCAATGCTGAGATAGACAGTAGAATGGCAACCTACAGTCCACAGTTTAGGAAGTTTCTTAGCAATATATCACTTTACTCTAAAATAACTAATATTTCTGTGTTGTGTATGTGTTTGTATGTACATGAGTAAGGGTATGTGTGTAGAAGAAAGAGAGAGAGGGAGCACGCTATACATGAGTAACCAACAATCTTAAAACTACTCAAATTCAAGTGTACACAGTCCTTCTAGGGACAAAACAAGCACAGAATGGGCAACAATGAACAACTAATGGCAGTTTAATCCACACAGCAGCATAGGAAAAACAGTTTAGGAAGGTAATCAATACCCCATATCACACACTATTGCCAGTCACAGTGTATAACGTATTGCTGTCTATCTCAATGTTAAGAATTTTGGAATTTGGATTATAGCTACAGCATGTCCCAAGGAATGATAGAAGAGAACATTATCGAAGAGTTGTAAGATTAAAGCTACAATCTTACATTAATTTTCCACAGAATTAAATGGGGCTTACTTCTGAGTAATTGCACATTCATATGCAGAACAATATGCATATCTCAGCTTCATATAAACTTGGGATGCAGATCCCCATATAAGGTATATGTAATCTTACACATGCTAAAAAATAATTGCATGCAAAGGAGCAGTATTGACCAAACTAACTGTTTTTGTATAACAGTTTATAAGATTTTAAACTCATAAAGAAATGAAATAAAATTAAATTTGGAAAAATTAACAACTGAGAAATATCAGAATGGACAGATGTGTTCAAGAGGCAGCAAAATGTTTAAATCATAAGCCTTCTAACTCTTCCAAGCCACCATTTTATCAATTTACAGTCCCATTTTATCTGTGTTTCTAAGTGATAAGCTTTGAGAGAGGGAAAGTTAGAAGATCATCATGGTCTTACTTATTTGAGCTCTTTGTGGGGCAATCCGTGCTATGGCAGGAGACCCCTGCACCTGCTTTGAAATCTGCTTGTCTTGGGTCATCATGAAATTGCCATTGGAGTCATTGCACAAGATGGGCAAGCTTATTTCTTTCTTGGTGACATGTGATTCCATCGTTTCAATTTCTGACTGAGTTTCCTTGTCACTGGAAGATTTCTTGTTCAGCAAGTTGCTGATCTCCATGATGTTTCCTATAATTTCCACTGGTCCTGTAAGGTTCTTTTTCCGAGAGGGAAGCTCATCTTTTGCTTTCTTCAGATATGATGCTGGGGCCCAGCCTTCTTTGTCTAAATATCTGAAAATACAAATAGTGATTGCAGTTTAGCTGATTATACCATAATTACAAAATGTGGTGCAGAAACTGAGTTAGCATTACAGATAGCCTTCAACTTACAACAGTTTGTTTAGTGACTGTTTGAAGTTACAACAGCACTGAAAAAAGTGACTTACAACTGTTTTTCACATTTATAACCATTGCAGCATCCCCATGGTCTTGTGAGCAAAATTCAGAAACTTGGCAACTGACTCATATTTATGACAGTTGCACAGTGGTGGGATTCAGCCAATTCGCACCACTTCGGCAGAACCAGTAGCTAATTTTTTGTTGCCCAGGCCCAGAATGGACTTCCAGAAGCGGCACACAGAGAACCGGTTGTTCACATATTTGAGTCCCACCACTGCAGTTGCAGTGTCCCGGGGTCACGTGATCACTTTTTGATACCTTCTGATACACAAAGTCAATCGGTAAGCCAGATTTACTTAACTGTGTTATGAACTTAACAACTGCAGTGATTACAACTGTGCTACGAACTTAACAACTGTGGCAAGAAAGGTCATAAAAGGAGGTAAAACTTACTTAAGAAATGTCTTAATTAGCAACAGAAATTTGGGGCTCAATTATGGTTATAAGTCAAAGACTATCTGTATTTTAGAAAGATGACTGAAATGTTTAAAAATAATAAAACTATTAAATAATCTAACCTGGTTTCCTCTAATTGTTTTCTTATATTGTTCTAGTTTGATGATTAGGAACATTTCTATAAACGATATTTCTTTGTCACATCTCTATCATGCTTCTCCTCCAAAACTTTAAGGGGGCTGCTAAGAGGTCATCCTTCATCTTATCTTTACCACGGCCATCCCATGAAGCCGAGTGGGCTCAGAAAGAGGGATTGGGCCAAAGTCATTGAGTGAGATTCCATGGCTAAAAGTCTGGATCTTTTTAAGTCTAGTCCAGTATTTCACTATCGCCATCACTGTAACAACTATACCAAATTTCAAATGCATTTGAATTGCTTTATTTGTAACATTATCTTTTATTTGCAATCATTCCATGCTTTTCAAAGAAATGGCTATTTTTTTTTAACCACAAATAATAATTAAGGAAGAAAGTCAGAAGAGGTGCAAATACCCTTGAACTGATAGTGTTAGGAACTATCTATCAGAAGTACAGGTAGTCCTCGACTTACGATCACAACTGAGCCCAAAATTTCTGTTGTTAAGTGAGACATTTGTTAAGTGAGTTTTGCCCCATTTTATGACTTTTTTTGCCACAGTTGTTAATGAATCACTGCGGTTTATAAGTTAGTAACTTCATTGTTAAGTGAATCTGGCTTCCCCATTGACTTTGCTTGTCAGAAATTCACAGAAGGGGATCATATGACTCTGGGACACAGGAAAGGTCATAAATATGAACCAGTTGCCAAGCATCTGAATTTTGATCACATAATCATGGGGATGCTGCAAAGGTCGTAACTATGAAAAATGGTCGTAAACCACATTTTTCAGTGCTATTGTAACTTTGAACCGACACGAAATGAATTATTGTAAGTCGAGAACGACATAATAAAAGACTACCAGAGTAGAGAAGAAGATCTTGAGAATGACTACTTACTCAAAATAAAATATTAGTAATTTCAATTAAATTAATTCTTAAGTAAATGTTCTTCAAGAATCCCACTTTGAAATACTGGGAGGAAAAAACATACATTAGTTTTTATTTCTAGCATATTTTTAAATTTTATATTAACAGAAGGACTTAATTTGAATCAAAGCTAACTAGACAATTCAGCCCCAGAAATATTTAGTTCAGAAGCTAATCTCACAGTTTCAAGTTTATCAAACACAGAAATTTGAAAAAAAGGACAATAAATAAATAAATAAAAAAGAAACTATTTCAGAAATATGGAAGAAATTACGGTAGTCAATTATTAAAAAGCATGTTCAGTTTGTCAGTGCCTCCTGGCCAACTGAGCAACATTATTCACACTCTGGAAGATAAGAGTCTTGAAGAATCATGAACACCAACTAGCTTCAGAAGACATGATTAAAAAAAAGCTCCTTAATTTCACAGCACATGGGCAAATTTAACCATAGTTAATTGAGCATGGTAGACCAAGTTAAAGATGCTAGGGAATTCCTAGAAGCTTGGCACTCAGCCATCAGTAACACATAAAGATAAAGAACATTTATACACCATTCAAAAGAAACCATAAAAAGGTAAAAGAAAAGAAAAAAATCAGAATACCCCCTTGCCAGCAATCAACACTCCATATAAGCAGGGATTAATATCAGGATTAACACCAAACAAACAATAAACAAAACTCTAATCATTGAACTACCAATTCAAACAATCAAGAAGTAAACAAAGGTCTAACCAAGGAACTACCAAGAAGAAGACAACATTCCCACCAATACTGACAGGGCAAGCTACTGTACATAAATAGAAAGCAATTTTCACTCCCTTCTAGCACTGAAGATGTTACCTAGTCTAAGAATGAAATGTCTACAAGAAAACAACCAAGCTCAGAGAGCACCAAGGACTCTACAGATAAGAATAAACAACTCAATAGCAGCCTCTTCACAACCCCAAGGGTAACAAAGAGAGAATTCCCTGTAAAAATCACAGGCCCTGGTGTGAAGCTTATAGGACAGTGGTGGTGAACCTATGGCACGTGTGCCAGAGGCGGCACTCAGAGCCCTCTCTGTGGGCATGCGCACTGCCGCTGCCAGCAGCTTGCGCATGTCCATTAGGCCGCCACCACCACCCGGAGCGGCGGCCACACCCAGCACAAAGGAGGCGAAGTGGCCAGCTAGCAAGCTTGAGTAGAGGTGGTAGAGCACGCCCACACCCAGCAAGCCAAAGGCCACCCCAAGCAGAGAAAGCCGGATCCCCATCAGCACCATGGCCCCCCCAGTCCCAGCTAGGATTGCGGTCCTCCCCCCATCTATGCTGGGCTTCCTGCCCATCGCCCCATCCGCCAGAGACCCCCTGGATCTCCCCCAACCCTGCCCGGCCCTCACAGGCATCCCCCCCAATGAGCAACATTGAGGTGGCCATGCCCACCCCAGCCATGCCCATACAGTGGGCCACGCCCCCATGCCCTCCCCGAGGGCACCACAATGCTGATGCAGCCCTGGCACTTTGTGATAAATAAGTGGCCTGCCAATCAACTTGCACCTCGCAGGGTCCCCAACCCTGATGACCCTGGAGCGAAGAAAATAAAACGAGTGGGTTTGGGGTTGTGGTTTGGGCACTCGGTCTCTAAAAGGTTCGCCATCACTGTTATAGGACTAAGGCTGAGAGACAACTAATTTGAGGAAATGCAGAGTTGTTCATGGGAGACAGCAGGAACTATTTTGTGATTTTATCTAAAAACACCTTATATTTTCTTGCTCAAATCTGTGAAAGAAAACAATGAAAACAATGTGCCAGGCTAATGGAAAGTCTCCTCTTACTTCCTGAATTCCAAAAGAAAACAAAACTGCTCTCTTTCATGCAATGACTATTAACAGAATTAGTTTCATTTTAAACAAATCTTATGTTGTCAGTGTATATATACCGGACAAATGAATCAGTCACACAGATTCAGTGAAGCAGCTGTGTTTTTCTTTTGAAGTTTTCAAGAATCTTCTCATTTCAGCTGAAAGATTAGAAACTGAGATCTGCAAAAAGTTAAGCAAGTCAGAATAGGATTTAGGAATAACCCTAGGCCAGGGGTCTGCAACCTTGACAACTTTAAGACTTGTGGACTTCAGCTCCCAGAATTCCTCAGCCAACATAGCTGGCTAAGGAATTCTGGGAGCTGAAGTCCACAAGTCTTAAAGTGGTCAAGATTGCAGACCCCTGGCCTAGGCCATCATACCCAGAACTAGCACATTTGACAAAGAACTTATGCAGTCGCAATATTCCCCAGAAGCCCAACTATGCACTAAAAAGCAGCCTACTTGCTCCTTCCATGTCACCTCAGGAAATGGCTGTGTAAGTGCTCTTCTATTGGCCCCTTAGGCAACAGAATTCTTGTTAGGATCAAAGCACTCTAGCCGTGTCAAAACCAAACAGGAAGATCCAATCTAGAAACCCGAAACTTGAAAGTTTCATATCTTCCGTCTCTGCACAATTTAAAAACCTACATGATAAACCAAGTCTACATGATGGACAGTAGAGCAATCATGGACAGCAGTATCATGCAGTTAATCCCCCAAATCAGCCTTCTTGATAGCTTAACAATAAATGGCACTGAACACAATCCAGCCCCTTTATTAAACATGTAATCTTACTGGACAAATTAGCCATTAGTTTTCATAGCTAGTTTTTATGGAAAGCCTAAAGTACATGTTAATGCAACAACTATTAGCCAATTTTCTGAACAAGTATAGAAATGCAAAAATGAGAGAAAAGAGGATCCTTTTCTTGTTCTGAAAATGAAATACAATCAGAAGACTGCAAGAAGGCATGGCAGAAAAAGGGGGCTTTTGGATTCTCTATTCAAAAATCCACTAATGTTTTTAATGCTCTTTGAAGGTAAAACTCAATATTCCAACCATGATTCTAAAGGAAAAAGGCGAATGGGCAAAATTGCCTCTGTTTGAGCATTTTCTTCCCTTTTAAAACATCTGCTTTCCAGCTCCAGAACACTGGAATTATTCCAGAGGGAAAGAAACCAGAAAGGGAGTGGAAGGGGGAAGAAAAGTGAAAATCAGACCAGAATCATCATTTTGTATATATATTTAAGGAGGAGAATGTTAAGAGTTTAAGGTGGAACGTACTTTTTTTTTTTTTTTTTGCTCCTGCGGCTTCTAATTCACCATTATAAAAAACTTTCTAACAAGTACTGTTTATAGCAATGACCTAATTAGCAGAAATTATCCTACTGATCATCAGTTTTCAAAGCTACTTGTGATAACATAATGCATGTCCTCTTCTGTGTCCTTTTTAATTCCTAGCAACATTTCATGTGATCTTTTATGAATCTCTGTAATTATCTGTTTAGTGGATGAAGGAAAGCATAGCAGAGGATTGGATGGAATATAGAGCCACAACAGAAGAGAACTAAGAATGCAAGAATTTCAGTATTTCTGACTCTACCTGATGTAAGAAATATATAATGAATATAATGAAATATTTATATCCTTTGTATTTACATTTGGGCATATCTAGCATTTGTTGTTTTAGTACTACTTTTAGTACTAATCTAAATTGAAAAATTCCTATCCTTGATTAGTCTACAAAAAATTTCCTTCTCATTAATTCAATTATGACACTAGAGGAAGATCTGAATAGGAATTTTGTATCTCAGAATAATTTAAAGAATCAGTTTTCATTACCGAGTTGAAAGAAAATGTAAAGCAAAGCACATTCCTCACAGCTGTTCATGAGGTTTATAATATTTGGGTACCAATGAAGTCTGAGCTGCTGGTCATATCCATTACCCTCAAGGTAAGTCTCTTTAATTGGCTAACTTATTATGCAAAGGGAAGAGGTGGGATTAAACAGATCCTATGGAGATCTAACTTCTACTTTAAGTCATTCTAGATAGGCTTTTCCTATCAGCGTTGTTACAATCCAAGACACAAAGTATACATCTTCTAGTGCTGAATAATATGAGCGGTTTTGCCATTCAGTTTCAAACAAACCCTTCAGGTTTTGACACCCTTGAACTATCTTAAAGACCAATAACAGGCCAAGTTAAATCTCAGAAATTATGTGTGAACAACAAAATATTTTTTGTTGTACTATTAAGGTAGCTGAAGTGGTCTTTAAATCATACCAGAGGCAACAAGCTGTTGCATGGTGTTATTTGGGGAATAGCTTATTTAGACCTTCTCCACATTCCTCTCTCAATTTAGTGACTATATAAACATAACAATCTCTGTTGGAAAAAATTCTGAATGTAAAATTGACAACATGATACCATCTCATCATGGGAGTTTTTAATAAAATAGAAGAATAGCAGCAAAAACATTGTTTTCTTTTTCATCTTCTTTGTAAGAACAATATCCTCCTTTTTTACAGTTTCCTGTAATAGCAAGCTCTTCCCTCCCCCCCCAACCACCAGATATATCCATACAAATACATATACAGTGGTACCTCGATACTTGATTACTTTAAAAGTTGTCAAATTTCTGTACTAGAAAACATGGATAGGGCTAGTTAGAAATTTAATTAATTTTGTATGAAGATGATATGTGGGATTTTTGAGCATTACATGTATATTAGTAGCTAAGAGAGCAGGATACCCAATGACATCCTCTGTGTATTTTCAAGGTTGGTTTAAGAAAAAGACAAACAAAGCTTATTTTCAGACTGCAATATGAGCGATCAGAGAGGATAAAAAAATCTAATTATAATCTAGAATTTCCTATAGTGTAGTCATCTTAAATGAAAATGCTGAATACTTTAAAGCTCTGTTAGGTTTAAGATAAAATAAAATGTGCTAGTACAAAATCAATCTTTAAAAACAAAAAGGGAATTCAAAAGTAAAATCAGGGAGAGTTGATGACCTTGTTTTTCCTCCTGCAAATGCTGTGCACTCTGCTCCTGCACCCTTGGCTTTGGATTAAAGTCCAGAGAATGATTTAAAGAGAGAAGAATGCAGAGCTGACACAAGGCCAACCATTCTCTGCTTACAGTGTTAAGAGTCCACTCCCACTCTATCAGCTTTCCTTTATTGTTGATGGAAAAGTTAGTAATGAAGACGTTACTACAATCACTATGTTTATATAACATATAGATCTTAGTATGTTTTCATTATTCAAACCATAGGTGTTGTAAGATGGTCAAACTTCAAAAGCAAATAACAAACTATGAAAAGTATCTATTTTATATGCAAACTAAAATGAACAGAATATAATTCACAGAATCCTGGGGTGAAATGGGTCATCCAGAAGACGGTTCTGTAATGTGACTAGGTGCATAAATTTGCATTTTTCAAGACAACCCTTTGCCATTCAAGGAGCCAGGTTTTCAGGCTTCTTGAAAAGTATATTCTTTTTTTTAATTTGAATTACAATGATTTTACTTAATAGTTGAACTGCAAGGCTGCAATCTTTATCACTCTTTGGGAAAAGACCCAGCTAAATTCTGTGGGATATTTCAAAGAAAGTAAGGAAGCAAAAGTATTAGGATCAGTTTGTAAACCTGGCTGTTACAGTTAACACTGAATACTTTTATATTTTGTTGTGCTTTTGATATTTATTGCATCAACCAGAAACAGGAGTGCATTGTGCTGAGCACAGCAAATGCCTACGTGGCATTTAATGTATTTAGAACTATGTCATTAAAAACAAACCCTTGGTTTCTGCATGGAACTAATTATTTAAAGCTACCAGAAGGAAAGTGTCTGAATTACAGCCAAGATTACCTCTTCTCTGCAAAAATTCAACACATATGCTAGTAGAACATGCTGCTCTTTAAAAACCTTCTGTTACAGCTGAATGCAAATTACATACATGTATACACACAAACACAGAGTGCTAAAAGCTTCCCATAGTTTAAAATATCATTTTACAATCCTATGGAAGTTGGTTCACTGCTTTAGTTGGAAAAACTAGGAAAATCCACAGAAAATTTGATTGGAAAATCCACTTAACCACCCATCCTTCTTAAATGCAAGAACAGCTATATTTGGTTTTAATTTTTCTCTCTGATTTGTAAAACATGTCTTCTATTCTCTCCCTAGCTGAAGAAATCTACAAACTGCAAATCTTATTTTACAAATATTATTAAAATAGTTTAACTGGCTTTTATAACATTATTCACATTTCTATATATTTGAAACATTTTTGGGTCCTACCTTTGATAGAAATATATAGGATTTTGTTGGAACCAAAAGGCTTGCACATGCCAAAATGACATTACCTTATGTACCACCATCCTTCCAGGTTCTTTTGAATGACTTCCACAGTGACTCCCTTGTCGAAACTAATTTCATCCTTCCCCTGGCTGGTATATGACTGAATTGTGACATATTTCTCTTCTAGCAAAGAGAGAGAAGACAACATCAGTTAAGATCAAACAGCTGTTTTCTCTTCTCTCATTGTGATTTCAAATTATTTTGCAGGCAATTAAAATCCTTGAGCATTGCAGAGGTGGAGTCTTGCTTGTGAGATCATATACCTATTAATTATCATACTGTAAGCATGCCTGTGTCAGCACCATCACCACCGCCCAGCTCCTTTCATGCCAATAAATGAGACAGGGTGTCTAGAGAAGGGGGTCCCTTGCATTATACATATGGTATTGACAAAAAATCAAACAAGCTGCCAAAGAAGCAAAGCAGCACTGGCGGAATCTTCTCCAGCTGGCTCCATTTAGCATACACATGATTATATTAACCCTGCATTACTGGAATCTGTACAGTGAAGCTGGAGCATGACCAAAACGCTTCAACCCAGAGGAACATTCCTACAGACAATATCACGTTTCAGCACAAAGCAGCCAGGATTTGCTTTTGTTGATTAGATCATATTCTGCTTTCCAGGTCGTCTCTACTCATGAAAGAAGAGCAAGTGTATCCTTTTAGCCTTTTTTAAAATAAAAATTGCTAATTCATTGTTAACCTCCTGGATTACCATAAACACTTGCACCATCAGGAAAACACAACCCCCAATTTAGTTAACCATGTTCATAGGAACACTGGTCCTTTTAAGCCAGCACTGGTTATATAGAGGGAAGGATTTTACATTGATAAGTTGTGGGCCTGAACTTGGACCTTCCATACGAGAGGGCATGTAGTCTACCTCTGAGGTATAGTCCTGTTAAAATAGGTATCAACATTGTCTGGTATTTCTCTCAGACCATGATCCAAAGGCAGGCATGATCCTGTTAATCCAGAAACATTCCTCCTGATATTGTTTTTGGATTATCAGGACAGTTTCTGTTCTCACTTTAATATTTAAAGTGCAAAATCCTTATTTAGTATTTGTATATCCTCTTTTTCTTCTAAAGGAACTTGAGAATGGCTACATTATATATTTTTCCAATTTTATAGTTCTTATAAGAATTTAGAAAGGAAGAATAAGCCAAGGCTAGAGATAACCCAGCTGTCTTTACAAATAAGATTTGAAGCAGAATTCTTTCACATTAATTGGAGACTGGCATACACACACAGTTGGTCTGGCAGAAGTGGTTGTCCTACCCTATTCCATGAACAGCTTTCAGGAGATATTGCACAAGTGATGGAAGGGACTCTACAGAATATGATTATTTTTCTAAGACCTCAAAGAGACACATTCAGATGTCTTCTTTCTTGACAACAATACTATAAGGAAAGTTGGCTGATCAGCCCAAAGCCATCTAGCATGTTTATGGCTAAGTAAGGACTTGAACATGGGCCTCCTTAAAAATCATTACATCACACATTTAAGGCTATGTCAGAATGGAGACGAAGTTACCCAAATCTTTTATCAGAAGAAGCCTAAATTGTGGAAATTGTATGCTGATATGCTGTTGCCTATTTCTAGAGCATGTGTCCTAAAAGAAGTTATAGAAGCAAAATATCCTCACATAAATAATACATCTGCATATGGTTGAACACTGTGGATAAGGAAGCCAAGTTTCTTATGTAAAATGTTTTTAAAGAAATGAGGGATAAGGTTTCAGAGGAAAATAAAGAATTTTAATAGTAGATAGTATGACATCAACTAGATTATTTGAAACTGCAGAAATTTAAACACAACAAATTAAATAGGAGAAAAATCCCAAGAGAAAGGGTTAGTTTCAGATTGCTATTAGAGCCAATGAAGATGGATAAAAGCAATCTCATAAAAACTTCATAAATGGAAGGGATGGGGGAGATTATGAATATCTGGAGTAGATTAGTCTCAGCTGTTTTAAGATTGAGGGATGGTGTGTAGAACATAATTAGATATAGTGTAGTTTGCCAGGACTCATGAGATTCCAGGCTAATTCAGATAATATAAGGGTTTATTGTGGATGCTTAATCCACCATTACTGCTACAAGGATTTCTGATTTTTAGCCATGGAACTGAAACTGGTTTAACTTCTTTTGTAACTTGCACATCAACAAATCTGGACTACGGTCAGTAGCATTGGTTGAACTTAGGTGCTTGGCATATTTTGAAGAGTCTTGATAATCTTATTGACCAGCTGTGAGGTTTTACATATTGCTAATAAGAGAATAGGAGATAACAGAATGCAGACAGGATTACTCTTGCTTCCTGTTTACTGACAGTTTTAACATACTGTTTTCAGCATAGCTTGTGAATCAACTACTTTCTGTTGCTGGTTAAAAAACAAGAAAGTCTATGTGAATAGAATCAATGCAGCAATGCATTTTAACAAACTGACAACTGTGACTCATTAGAATGGCTGCTTTTGATTTCATATTACAATGAAGGAAGTACAGTCACGTAGCAAAATTGATAGCACAGTTCTGCCCTTTCAAAATATGTACTGTAAACCTTTCATAAACCTCTGGGTTTATAAAACATTTAGTAAACACATAGGTCTTTCCCATATTTTATTTATCAAATTTAGAAATTGTCCATCTCTCTCATTGAGATCGGAGATAAATAAACATAAAAGCTATATGCAACTATTATAATAAAAATAGTTAAAAACAAGAAAAAAGAAAGACAAAGAGGGGCTTTAGGGCACTATTATCTCTAGATACATTTGGAATGATGATTGACCATACTAATTGGAGATGATAAATAAAGTATATTCTAATATCATCTGGAAGATCCCACTATAAGGGAAATCATGTGTTACATGGTTTTCCTTATGCAGCCATGCGTTATAAAAATACTGTGGACCTGTACTAGATCATTCCTCGTGACACTAGTACCCATAGTGGAATGATACCAATCTGATTCCCAGCGGCAAATGAGTTTATGCAACAAACATAATGAACATATAACTTACTTCTTAATACAAATACCACTCTCTCATCCCCTTCAAATGAACTAATGGCATCAGGACATTAATATTTTATATAGAGTAAACTGTTTTTCATTATACATCTTTTGGTGGAAAAAGGAAGGAAAAAATAATTCCAAACCACTCTTCATGCACAGCCGATTTTGAAAACTGTGATATAAAACATAAGCATTTTTGATGAATAATGAGGTGTCAGCTTATCTGTCAAGCGTTCATTTAAATAAAAATAAATGTAGTTTCCAACAAAGGATTCAGCAGCATTTTGGAGGAGCCACTACAGCTGTTATAAAGTTCAGAGTAAACCAGTTAAACATTAGAATGTTTTATGTGACTCATGTATAATAAATAACATTTTGCCTGCTTCCTAAGCCTCAATACTTTAACATAAGGAATTGTCTGATTGTGTAGAGAATATAGGAGTATGTACATCATCTGACTACTCGGTGTTGACAGAAAAGATTTGAAGAAAGACTGTTAGGATATTCAGCTAAATGGGATACAGTTCTATATGAAGTACTTTACCAAAAGTTGTTTTTGTAATGCACTATCATACTGAGAAGAGCTGAGTGAACTGTGGTCCCTAGACTCAATCTGTGTATCTCCATATTCTCATATTGTCTGACTATTACTCTTGGAATGTAAGATTTTGAGGATTAATAAATTACCCAATTCCTCTTGTTTTGTGCCTAATGGTGCAGGTCAAAACTGCAATATTAAAAGGGGGGGAGATATCAGGAGCAAGAAGAATAATCTATCTATCTATATAAATAAAAATGTAAATGTTCGTTTGTTCAAAATCTTAAATCTCCGAAAGTTCTTCACCGATTGCTTTGAAATTTTGACACAACATTGCATTCAAATACGCGCGTGTTTTTATATACCTATATTATATAGATGTCACACCTGTGACAGGTAAAAACATGTTTTGAAAAACAGCGCCATCTGTTGGACGTAAAAGCAACACACGCTTTTACCAGACTGAGCCACAGCAACGCATGGCTGGGTACAGCTAGTTTTATATAATTCTTAGCAGTCATATTGGAATTGCCATTCATAACCTTATATCCAATGTTCTGCTCAGGGCAAGAATCCCAAATCAAAGCATTCCAGATGGCAGCTGTATGGTGTCCACTTAAGCACATTAGCTGAAGGAGAGCCCCCCATCTGTCACTGTGGTCAGTTCCATTGTTCATCTACTATTAACAGTTTTTCCCCCCTAAAAAAACAATCTACCTTCCTGTAACTTAAATTCATATTTATATGTATTGAACATTTGGACTAGAAAGCAAAAAAATTCTGATTCTATGTGACATCCTTTCTGTATTTGAAGGGTGCAGCTATATTCTTCAATATAGCTTGAAGTTGAAACATATCTTGCACTTTCAATGTCTCTTCCCAAGACACAGTTTCTAATGTCCCGAACATCCCTAGAGGTCTTTTCTTGACCTGTTCCAATTTCTCTACATCTTTCTTAAAATATAGTGTCCTCGCCAACTGGTGGATAAAGTCTTTCTGATTTATTCCGAGCTGGACTCCATCTAGTCAATTCCTATGAAGATGATTCCTATAAACATGACTGAAACAAATTTTGGGATGAGTTCAGTCTCAAGAAAGTATACAGAATTTTTGGAGTACAGCCACTTGTATATTAGATCCATGCATTTCCTGGTTAGTTAAAGCCTCCAAGGACAATACATATGGGTTGATCCATGCTGTGGCAAATGCCTCTCAGAGAGGTGATGGTATGCCCCACCCAAGACACCACCCAATTGATTTGGATAATTTTAATCTATTTTTATCCTTTTCAGAGAAGGATGATAAAATGTTTGGTCTTCCAAAGTCTAAAAATAGTTAAAATGTTTCTATATTATGTATGTGATTTATGAAAAGCTGTTTTTTGTAAACAAAAATATTGTGAGGTTGAATATATTATTCTATTTAAACACTTCATTTGGCCACCCATCTCATTACTGTCTGCCAACAAATAAGAAATAAAACTAGGCGGGGAAAAACAGAGCTCAATTAATTAAAAAGAAATTTCAAAGACAAATTTCAACCAGCTATTGTTATAGTTCCTAATTCTTCATTATAGGAAAAACTTTTGCCAGATTATTCCATAATCTATGTGTTTCAATTATTAAATCCAAATATTTTACAATTGTCTCCATTACTTTTCAAGCTACTCTGATTTCATTTGGTGTTGCCACATCTACTGTATATGCTTTTTTCCCAACTACTTAAATGTCCAGTGTTGTCCTCTACATGTCAGTCAATCTGACCTTAAGAGTCACATAAACTTTTTACGTGGTCCTAAAGCAATTTTTCAATACTGTGATCACACCAATTTTTTATATAAATTCCAATTTACCATTTTGCCATGCAATCATATCTTGCCTAATCTGTTTAATTTTCTATAACTGTTTATTATTTGATCAATATTCATCTAACTCCATTTGATGTTGTTCATAATCCTTATTTTTATTACACTTTTTCTAGTGCTTGTAATCTTCTGCTGCAAATGCTAAACCTTATGTTTCTTGATGGAGCCAGTCTGAAGTCATTGTCAAATTTTGTTACTATTTACATTGCCTTCAATTTCCTTCAGATATTGAACATGAAGAGATTTATATTTTCATTAGTTGTTATAGCTATTCAGTTTTGAATACTACCTTTGATTCTGTCACAAACTGTTTTCCTTGCAAATATTTATTAACATGTTCTCTTTGCTTGTTTTATATAATTATTTAGACCTTTCATTTTATCTCTGTCAATAAAAGCCTATTGTAGCATCTTATAGGGACAGACCAAGTATATTATCACTATTTTGAAATTAATTATTTTACCTATTCAGAGTAGGTTTGGGTTTTTGCCTGCTTGGGTATGAAAAATATTTTTTAAAATCTTTAAATAATTATATATTTTTTTCATTGTCAGTGCTTCGAAGTTAGCACTATTCCAGCAATTCCATTTTGATATCACCCTTAAACATTCAATTTTTTTTATTTAAAAGGAGTATGTTTCTTTAGATGATTTTACATATTATTTCAAGTCATTCACATAGCTTGGATAATTAGTTTGATGACATTTTGTTCAAAACAATCATGTTAAAAAATAATGGAAACAAAGAGTGACTTCAAAAAACGTCTCTTCTGATATTGATATTTATCAAGTTCTCCTTTGCCTCAGTATAGTTCTCTATTTTTTCCACTGTACTAAATACTTTTTATTATAATTTTCTTATTAATTACAAAAAATTCAAAGATTTTAAATTGAACCATGGAGTTAAATGCTTTTTGAAATCAATCCAGTTTATTTTATGCCATTTACAGTTTTAAAAAAAATCATTTTTATCAATCAAAAACTGGTCTTTTGTATCCCAGAATTTTAGAAATTCTCTTTTTGCTCTATAGGGCAAAATGAATTTGAAATAAAGAGTCTGGAGATGTTATTGGCAATGAGCAATACATTGTGGTGGTTATTATTAGTAGTACTTCCTACTACAAGTATTAACAGTTCAGCATTTCCTTTTGCAATTTTATCTTTTTTTAACTAAGTTTTATGATAAATACATAACACAGCTGACATAAGCTGTATTGCTACAAAAAGCTGACTCACAACAAACCTTGTTTTAAACGATTCAGATAGTTCAAATAAGGTTTGGGCTTGAAGTCAAATATACAACTACTAAACAGCTGAGGTTTACCCATCATCAAGTCTGGTTTCCAAAGATTCATTTCCTCTGGAAAAATGGATCCAAAATTGAACATGAATTCTGAAACATTTACTTTGTTTATTTAACAAAAGAAAAGCAAGGCAGAAAAAGATTAAAAGATAAAATGCCTTCCATCAGAAAAACACTGGCTCAAAATTGAAAAGTAGTGAAGTGGAAGTAGCAGTTCATTAAGAAAAACTGATGCTCATCTCAAATTTGTTCACAAGTAAATTTCTTCACACACCACAAACTAACCAAGAAATAAATCTACCTTACAGATTGGATTATATTTGTTCAGCAAATCTAGCCATTTCCTCTGCACTGATACTTCCTGTTGAAAAAATAATAATGCTGGCTGCAAGTGGCTACCATACAAAAGCCTATCCACCAACCTCAGGGCAGTTTTGAATTCACAGATAAAATTGAAATGATCATTTCTAGTTCTCCATCTTAATTACTGCCTATGTAACAGAAGAGCTGAAGCAAGGAAACGTATCCACTTGTTTAATTTGTGGCACTGTATCGGTTATGGAACATCACTATAGGATCTGAGTATGTGTGGAAAAACTGGAAGGCATGCAGTTTAGAAGATAATCTAATTAAGGGTCCTAAGCAAAATGCAATAGCTCAAATTCTGTTTTCCAAACCACAAAATAATTCTTAAAGACATTTTCCTCTCAGTCAGCAATCTTTTCACTCTACTCATTCCTTTCTTTAAATCACCTCATTTAGGGCAAGATTCTGTATCTAAGAATTGTTCTTCAATGATGACCTAATACTAATGTTTTAGAACATTTACGACCATAATAGATATTCCTCTAATCATGCGTCCTTTTAACAAATACATTTCTCCAAATGCATTAAATCAATACCTTCAGGCTTCAAATACAAGCAGTAACGATTGTGTCTCTTTTTTAAATGATGTGCTACAACCAAGGATAAGAAATTTCATGACTATAAAAGACTTTAGGGTTTTTTTTAACACATACTCTTTACTGAAAAGTATAAAGCAAAAGCATTATATGCAAGAAGTTTATTACTGTATTGCTCTAACCCAGGGGTGTCAAACTGCTGGCCCGTGAGCCGGTTGCATCATGCGGAGGCTGCGCCCATCTGAGCTCTGGCAATGCAAAAAAAGTTGTGATACGTCGCAACACGTCACATGACACGGCGAGTTTGACACCCGTGCCCATTGCTGATAAATTATAAAAATATAAATTTCATACAATATATTTATTTTTAATGATAAACATAGTAACCTGATTTGATTTGTACTGATACAGTTGTTAGAAACAACTGATGCAAATGAGTTTAATCACACAGCATGCAAAAGCTGATTCCAAGAGACAACCTAAATATCTTTTAAAAAGTGTCTTCAACATTCTCTTATTCAATCTTTCTCAGGCCTTAAATCTGCCTACTGTCTTGCAGGCAAACATTAGAACTGGAACTAAATACCAGCACTTCAGAAATTTATGTTCAGTGATGATATTTTAAATTTATTAAATGAATTTTATATATTTATTAAACCAATTTAAATATCTGACAATGTGGAAGGATAAGGGGAAATATTCAATAACATTTGGGAACTCATAAGAGGGAAAAAATCACTTTTCTTCTCTACCAGATAAAAGAAGAATTAATAGAAAATAAACCAGGTTCTTGATGAACCAAAGGCATTGCTGATATATATTGTCACATACTTGTTTCTACAGTATGACACATAATTTGTTTATATACTGTGACTTTTTTCCTGTTTTGGAATACGTTCACATGTACAATAAGCCATTCTTTGGATTATATGTGAACTAAGCTTTTGTAAATCACTTTACAATGTTGCTTTCCCTCTCTTCTCTGGGAATTTTTTTTTTTTAAAAAGTTAATACGGTATAAACTATTAACCAAGGATTTGGAAAACTTTTCTTTTTAATCCAAATGCCAAATGTGGTAGTTAACTTATTTTTTAAAACAATTTCAAAGTGAATTCTAGATTTGTACAATTTTCAGTTGCCAAATGGGGAAGAGAAACTGACTTCCCCAATCCAATTTGTTTCAGTAATTTCTCAAAGGCAGGACTTCCTCTTATGAATAACAACAATGCTTCTAGTGAAAAAACTGAATTGAAGGTGGTAACTCCTGATCTCTTAGAACAGGGGTATCAAACTGCTGGCAGGCCGGCCGGATGCATCACACAGAAGCCATGCCCACCCCATTGCCGGCAATGGCAAAACTGTCCCAATATGTGGCGCGACGTCACGTGACGCCGCGAGTTTGACATGTCTTTCTTAGAATCTCTCTAGGGAAGCAAGGAAGGTCAAGGAGACTATAGATCACAGGAAAGATGATTAGTCAATAAAAAGCCTGAACATAACATACCTATATCTTGCCCTTCTCATAACTGTAAGATTGCCACATTCCTCTTGAGAATGTTTCCCAAATTGTTTTCTCATTTAGAAGAACTCATAACGTAACTTTTTAACCAATTTTTTTAAAAATAGAAAAAATGTAGGTATGTCTTTCTGCATGAAGCTAGAATAAACATACCTTTGAATAAATACAGAAAAAGATTCTCAACAATCCCAGGTTTTGCTACAGATTAGACTATTAGAACAATTGTTTGTAAAAACACAAGTGCCTCTAATGACATTAATTGACTCCTATGTTGATATGCAGATAACATTATACTGCCCTCTATCTTCACTGCAAACAGACTTCTTTCTGCTGCGGGAAAACAAGGCCCTATCAAAGCCTATGCAGCTGCCAGCCATTCTTAGCAGTGTCCGATAGCAAGAGAAGCAGCAGCAACCAGCATGTGCATCCTTCAAGGGACCACATCCCAGAAAAATGTTCACCTCGACTCTGCTGCCTGTTGACCATCCCTCCCAGTGTCCATCGCCGGTCCAAGCGCCTCAGGTGAGCCTTGCGTCTCTTAGAAACTATTTTGGAAAAATGGATGAAAGCATAAAAAAGGAAAGAAACTTAAAATGTGATGGATGGAGAACACAAACTGAGCAAAAAATAATGATCATTGCATAGCTTCACCTTGCATTAACAAGAATGTGATGTGATAAATAATGTAATGAGATTGCTTTACCACATGTCATTAAGTATGACTATAGCATTTGACTTCCTGCTGGTTTCCACATTGACTTTGTTTGTGGGAAGCCAGAAGAGAAAGTCACAAATTGCAGTCATGTGACTCTGGGATGCTGCAACAACCATAATTAGTACAAGATCTTGTTGTAACTACCACTGTTAGTAGCACTGTTACATGTTTGAAAGATTGCTGAATGAATGGTCATTAAATAAGGACCTCCTGTAATTCTAAGAGGCTGCATGTTTTGTTTTGTTTTTGTTTCTTGGAAGCAAAATCAGCCTTTAAAACAATGAACATCCAAATCAGTTCTTTATTTAGGTTTCAGACTTTTTGAAAAAGATTTTCTTTAAAACCTAGTAAATTGGAAGTAAGGTCCAGGAAAGAGGTAACATCATGGAGGTATGAGCAGGACGAGGAAGGAATACCTCTGATCTATCCCCAAAACAGATAATTAAAATATTTTAGGCAATTATGAGAGAATAGTATAAGTAATCTGAGGAAGAGATGAACTGAGCCAAAGCTTGGAAGAGTCAGCATACACAATTTCTATTTTGAGACCAATTTTCTGATTCTTTAACAATGACATTTAGAGAGATTCAAGGAATTTAGATGTGCTGTCTGATATAACAATCTCATCTGTTAAATATGCAGAGACTCATTTGTGTATAAAAAGAAAGAATTCTTTGTGACGGTGTAATAGTTAAAATAGCTGAACACAGAGGACATTTCACTGTTGCTTTTTTTCAGAAAGTAATACGTTTCTTGCATTTATAACTGAATATTTTCAAGTTCAATGTACAAAGAGAAAGAAATAAATCTACCAGTTTTAGTCTTGGGTAAAAAAAAAATTAAAGAATTCCTGTGAGATAGGATAGGATAGGATAGGATAGAACTGGAAGAGACTTTGGAGGTCTTCTAGTCCATCCCCCTCCTCAAGCAGGAGAACCTATACCATCTCAGATAGGTGATTGTTTAGTCTCTTCTTAAAAATCTCCAGTGATGGAGCGCCCACGATTTCTGAAGGCAAGCTGTTCCACTGGTTGATTTTCCTCACAGTCAGGAAGTTTGTCCTTAATTCCAGGTTGCGTCTCTCTTTGATCAGTTTCCAGCCATTGTTTCTTGCCCTCTGGTGCTTTGGAGAATAATTTGACCCCCTCTTCTTTGTGGAAGCCCCTTTGTGGAAACCCCTGGAATACTGCTATCATGTCACACTATTTCTTCTTTTCTTTAGACTAGCCATACCCAAGTCCTGCAGCTGTTCTTCATATGTTTTAGTCCCCAGGCCTTTGATCATTTTAGTTGCTCTTCTCTGTACTTTTTCCAAAGTCTCAACATCTTTTTCGTAGTATGGTGACCAAAATTGGTTGCAATATTCCAGATGTGGTCTCACTAGGGTTTTATAAAGCGATACTAATACTTTGTGTGTTCTTGATTCTATGCCTGTTTATACAACCCAGGACTGTATTAGCTTTTTTGGCTGCTGCTACACACTGCTGGCTCATAGTCAAGTGATCGTCTACTAGGACTCTCACAGTTGCTGTTTTTGAGCCATGTCTCACCTAATCTGTACTTAAACCTTTGATTTTTTCCTACCTAAATGTAAAACTTTGCTTTTCTCCACATTAAAACTCATTTTGTTGGATAGGACCCATTGTTCAAGTTTGTCAAGATTTTTTTGGATCATGAGCTTGTCTTCTGGGGTGTTGGCTATTCCTGCCAGTTTAGTGTCATCTGCAAATCTGATGAGTTCCCCTTCTATTCCCTCATCTAAGTCATTAAGTAAGATATTGAAGAGTACTGGGTCTAAGACGGAGCCTTGTAATACCCCACTGCTTACTTCTCTTCATGTGGATGTAGTACCATTGAGGACTACTCATTGAGTATGGTTTGTCAGCTAGCTACAAATCCATCTGGTGGTGATGTTGTTTATTCCACCTATTTGTAGTTCACCAAGCAGTAGATTGTGGTCTATTTTGTCAAATGCCTTATTAAAATCAAAGCATACTATGTCCACAGCATTTTGCTGGTCTACTAATTTAGTCACTTTATCAAGGAATGAAATAAGATTGCTTTGGCATGATCTATTTCTGGCTACCAGTTACAACTTCGTTTGCTTCTAGTTGTTCGTAGATGTTTTTTTATTATCTTTTCTAGGATCTTCCCAGGTATTGATGTTAGACTGATTGGTCTATAGTTTCCCTTTCTTGAAGATGGGAACCACATCAGCCCTTTCCCAAACCTCAGGAGCTTCTCTGGTACTCCAGGATTTTTGAAAGATATGATGCAATGATTCTGAGATAACAATAGCAGTCCTGTGAGGTGGGCTGAGTTGAGAGACAGCAATAGGCCCAAAGTCACCCAAATGGCTTTTATGGCAAGGTAGGACTTGAACTGGTGCCTTAACCACTGGGCCAAACTGGCTCTTTGTAGATTGCCCATCTAAAACTGATTCATGAATTCCCTAATCTATTAATCAAACATTATTTTGCCATATCACTGTCAACCATCCAGCATCCTCTAATATGTCAGCTGAATCTTTCTACTTGTATAGATTTTTTCTTCAATTGGCCAAAGATCATCAACTGTGCTCTGCTCTCCAAGAGGCAAATGCTGATGAATTACAGAAAACGTGCTCTCTGGCTCTCCACAACATTTGCACTTCTGTTTAAACATAGCTGGCTTAAAACTGATGCTACAGTATAGAATATTAGCTACCTCCACTCCATTATTTTGCTGTGGTAATATGTTCTGATTTTTTATCTCTAGGCATAGTTCAGTGGAATATAATCAAGCTGTCACTGCACTAGGATCCTCAACAAAACGTAATCATAAGTGTCCTCTGTGCACAGTTACTCAGGGTTTAAATGATGAACAACTTATATAGGAATGCAATAATGAGAAAAATATATGCTGAAATGGAGCAAATACATGGGAATAGGTGGATTCAGTTAGCACTATCCAAAGGAGGTTAGCTAAAAGCACTTTTTGGAGAATGGGTATTTGCCAGATTTTATAGCATAGTGTAATCAGACAAATATGCTTGTAAAATAGAACAAAAGTACAATAACATTTACATTGCAATATCTGCATACAATTATGCATGTATTTCATTTTTAAAATATTTTAAAATTGAGAGTTTTATAGACATTACTCATAGACTTTCCCAACTATAAGAAATTAAAGAGAAAATTGGAATAAGAAGTTATTGGATCCTAAATCTCTTGCCAATTAATAGGAATATATTACCAACATAAATCACTGTTATAATTGTTCCAGGCAATTGCTAGAAGTTTTGCATTGCTATTATCATACAAAATTAATAATTATGTTGAATACTTTTATTACACTTTTTATATTTTTCTGTATAATTCAAAAAACGAATATTTCTTATATTCCCTATGGGCCCCATTCTTATAATCAAGAAGCTCTGGATCACAGTAATACATTTTTATACTTCCTTGCTTCTCCATTTTTAGCTGCACTATATTTGAATGCAGATAAGTGCCTGAAAGTGCATCAGGTTCTCTTACCTTCTCCTCTTTTGGACATGTTAATTTCAGAATCATCTCTAATTCCACTTTGGGATTCCAAGTAAGTTGCAGGGACCCAGCCTTGCTCTTCTGAAGTACTTACAAACCACCAACCTGTAAGGATACAGCAAAATTGTTGTTATAGGATAAGCAAGTTCTTAAAAACTTTCATCATGGGATAAAATTAATACTATAATAGAGAAATATATAGAAGCCAAATAGCTGTCATAGAACCTACTGCAAACTATTTTTGTGTATTTCACTTTTAAGGATCTATGGAGAGAGTTAAAAAAAAGTGTGTTTGTTCTTCTCTAGAAGTAACTCTGGAAGTCTTCCTGAGATTCCTTGCTGGCATATGCAGGATTGGAGAACTTGTGTTTGAGACCAACTGTTAATCTGGAATTCAAATACTTAATAGACATATGAGGAGGAAAAGGGAATCTGGAAAGTGACAGCTTGCCTTTAGTTATGTGACAAATTTATAATTGAATATTTTCTACAGCTCACAATCTGCAATTGAAAAGGAGTGAATAAGTTGCCAAGAATGAATATAGAGAATCCGTACCCAATTTTCCCATATTAAGTTGTTATGTGCATGTTGAGTAATCAGTTTAGCCCAAATTAATTATATATGTGAATGTTTAAATACTGTTGAAGTCCTTGAAAGTATTTAGGTTCAAGTATATAAATAAAATGGAGATGTAGGTACTCCATACTGCTGCTATTTTGATATTCTATATTTCATGGAATTCAGTACCACCAGGAGACTGTGAATTCTAGTCCCACCTTAGGCACAAAACCAGCTGGGTGACTTTGGGCTTGTTACAATCTCTCAGCCCTAGGAAGGAGGCAATGGCACTTCTGAAAATGTTGCAAAGAAAACTGCAGCCAGTTAGTGGTCAGGAGTCAAGACTGATTCAAAGACATACATGCATACACACAAAACAAATTTTGTGGAATTAGATATTTTTCCATTCCTAAAAACACATGCTAATTCTCTAAAATGAAATAATATTTATCCAGAAAACTGATTTCTACTTTAGCTAACTAAAATCCATTCAAATGCAATTTATAATCCTTTTTACACTCCCGTGTTAAAAGCAATCTTTAACTGTTGGCAGGTTCTTTCTGCTTCATTCACCATTAAATATAAAGAAAAATGGTATTATTGAAGAAGTAAAACATATCATTTGATTACTTCATTTTATATATACATTGATCAGTAATTTGTGCAGTGGGAATCAAACAATATCTGCTGTTACAGTTAATCAATTGAGAGATGAGGAATAATATGTCCTTTTGTTTTAAAATTGTATTCTTTCACAAACACATTTCCCTTAAAACAGATTAGGGGGCAAGATCATTCAACTCCAAATTAAGTTGTAGAAATGAATATGAAGATCTATTGTTTATTATCTGATTTATCTTCCTCCTTTTCATCTAGGAATAGATTTTGGGCAATACTGAGCTTTAGCATGCAACTTTTACTATGCAACTTAAAAAATAGTTTCCATCTGGTATAAATGAAACACAGAGCATAAGAGTGCATGCCTTTAAATTTAGAATAATTTGCTGCCTCTGTCTGATTATCAGCATTTAAATCCCCCTTTTCTGCTTGCAACACATTTGAGTCTGGATTATTTTGGCTCTACACTGTATCCTATGTCCCACAGCTACACTGAGTGACTCTACCTTCGCTCCCATTATGAGCTCCACTCGTTTTTTTTTTACCAGTTAGGCCAATACTATGGTTTTCAATTCCATCTCTCAGGCTTTCAGTTTCTCTCCTCTCTCTAGAAATCAGCAGAATAAACTTTTTGTTACGAGCAGTGCTTTTTTTGTAAAAAAAAAAAAAAAGTAAAAAAAAAAAGGTGCCAGAACTCACACACGTCATACAACCCAACCCGCCTTGCCTACCCTACAAGGTTCCATCCAAAAAGGTGCCGGAACTCCGTTCTGAGTGTTCTATGACAAAAAAATCCCTGGTTATGAGCCACATAACTATTTATATAAGGTGTCATCAGCCAATGTTGAAATAACACCAAGGCTCCCTGCCACTGCATGTAAGGAAGTCATAGTTGAAATAGCATGAGCAACAAAAAACAGACAGTGGTCTCTTAAATCTAAGGGAGGCCTTGCATTCTAATACTAACTACCTCCAACCATTTTGAAGAGAACTGGATATGTGAGGTCTAGAAAAACCTGTCTTGGAGCTTAGCCAGACCGATTTTTGAAACTATTTCTAATGTCCCAGGCCATTATAAAAACACTGAAATAATGCATGTAGATATCTGACTTTGTGTGTCCCTGCTCCTTCATTATTTTTCCGTTGTTGCCATACTTTTTAAAATCATAAGCATTGTTACTGATTTCTGTTACTGATTTCTGATTTCTGTGGGGTGGGGGGTGTTTGTTTTTTATTCCCCCCCATCTGCTGGGTGGTTGCAGCAGGTTTTGGTCACTTCACATGACCCTGGGACACTGTGACCGTCATAAATATGAATCAGTTGCCAAGCATCTGAATGTAAATCACAAGACCCTGGAGATGCTGCAATATTCCAGCTGATCGACGCTTCTTCTGGGCTCAGCAGAAGCGCCAGGAACAGCGCCGAGCTCAAGCTGGAGCCTGGCGCTGATCCTGGCGCTTCCACTGAGCCCTGAAAGCCCTGCAGCTCCAGCCATCTCTCACTCAGGCTTGTGCGGTGCTGCCACCGGTTCAGCTCATTCCCCTCCCCCGCTACTTTTCTAGGATGCTCGCGTACCACCTGCCAGGTGCCAATGTACCACAGGTGGTACCTGTACCATTGGTTGAAAAGCCCTGCTATAATGTATGACATTATTAAATTCAATTTCATACTTCTCAGTTGTTTCAAAAAATAAATAAAAACAAATTACAAATTATACCATAACCACTTCCCCAAGAAGCAAAGTTTTCCCAAACGTAATCTGTTTTTCTCAGTTGGAGAATTAAAATTTAATTAGATTGTTACACAGTAGGGAAGAGATTCTCTCAATATGATATTCACTCATGGCAGCTGTCTATAATACTAGAAAGATAATTGACACAACCATTTCATTTCAAAACAGTTTCAAATAGATAGTTTGCTGCTCAAAATGAGTATTTTTTTTAATGATACGAAAGGACAAGAGGCACAGAGAATTGAACATACATTTGTAATTATAGCACAGAAGTAAATAGACCAGAAGCTGATGTACATCTGATCCTAATTAGATGGAAATGGTCCTATGAATTGTTCTTCATAAGCAAATGTTGCACTATAGTTAGCACTGAAAACCCATAATAGCAGCAGGCTCTGTGCAATCTTGCTTTACTCCAACAACTTCTTCTGTTATGAGGATACTCTTTGAATGTCTGCTTCTTGACATGACAATTGGACAGTGGGTCTTGGACTCACTCAGCCATACAACTGCAGATCCAAACTTGCTAACAGACATGTCAGTATTACTAAATTTTTCCTCATTCAAATTAGAATGATGTTGAAAAGAAGAAATAATCACAAAGAGGTTGATTAATAGAAAGTATAATTGGGATTTGGAAAAACCTTAGGAACAATTGTCTTAGAACTGCATCAAGTAGTTAGTTGGCTCATATAAATCAATGTAGAAAGAGCTAATTACATTAGTATAATGACAGCATCTACCCACACTTTTTAAAAGCAGCACATAATTAAATGGATTAATGCTAAAATGGGGAACATGATGAAACTATTTTTCCAAACACAGTACTATTAGCTTTTACAACTTCAGGAAGTATATTGAAGTTTAGATTAGATTTCTTATCAATATTAAATATTGGACAACATATATGTACCATACCTACAATACTAAAATAATTTGTATAGTTTGATTTTATAAATAGCCAATTAAATATTCACATACTGCAAAATATAAGCAGCTTCTTTTTAAAGTGCAGAACTAATGTCTGGGATATGTTGGGAAGCACTGGTGTGTGCAACCGATTAAAGACAAAATCAATTGAAGCTAAATTCAAAACTAAATGCTGAACAGAGGGACAAATAATGTGAACTTCATGGTGACAATTTTATAAACCATTCAACATAAGTAAACTCATGGGAAGCAAATTAATCTTATGCATTCAAGAGAGCACAAAAATCCAGCCTGAATGGATACATACTGCAAACATCTGCCTTGCACGTTGACTTCCAATTGCCCCAATAAATACACAAGTAGGCATCACATTTGCTTTGTTCAGGTTAAACAAAAGGCACTGCTTTGAAGCTCTAAAATGCTTGCATCATTTTTAACACTCTGAAATGAGCTGCTGCCAACTGAAAACTTTAAGACCAGAATTTAGGTTTCTTGATAACCATGTTGAAATCTAAGTCCAGCAGTACTACCTCAAAACCTTCTACACATTATACATGCATCTCTGTTCTGAAGCTTTTTCCTTTTGCCTAGTAATGTGAGATCTGTGGTCTTTCAGCCATTATGAAAAGCCATAGTTCCCCTCACCAATGGCATGCTGGCTAAGGCTGCTATGGATTGTAGTTCAGCAAGACTTTGATACTTTTATTTTTCCTATCCCCGAAGTACTAAAGAACAATTAGGGGCATACATAAAAAGAAGTGTTGTTTAAATTACAGCTTTCCATATTCTTATGTACCACAAATTCTTATTGCTTATGCCTGATTGGAACCATATGCTACAATTAGTTACATACCACACAGTAGTTATGATTGGACCATTCTGCTTGCCTACAACATTGCATCTCCCTTAGAGAAATAGTTCTTAATAAATAAATATCAGGTCAACTGCCTGGACTCTCATCTTTCCCAAATTGTCTAGCCATTTAAGCAAAATTGCCTAACTAAGAAGTAAGGACCTACTTTTTCAGAAACCAATATATTTTGTAGGCTATTTGTTCTTTCTCTCTCATTCTTTCTCCACCCTTTACATCTCTATGCAGGACATGAGCAAAAAACAAAACATAACAAAAAAAACCTGCAGGGGATTGTATAACATTTTTTCTGCATGCGCTCAATTAAGTATGGGGCTCATTCTTGCTTCTATGCTGATAGCAGTCACTGAAGAAAAATGGCATCAATTATCCAAAATTACCGTATGTTAAGAAC